AAAATTGTTGTCAAAACGTCCTTAAGGAAGTTTTCTTTCCAGTAGAACATCTGGACTCGGTGATTTCTTATTTGGGAGGGTTTAAATTTAATCCCCTTAATAGCCGTGGGACTATTTAAATTGTCTCTTTCATTTTGGTGAACTGTGGTGGTTTTGGCTTTTTAATAAATTCATTCATTTTGTCTAAGTTGCCAGATTTTTGTAGCTAGAGTTGTTTTTGGTTTTAACCTCATTAGCTTTATGATTTGAGCACTACAGACACACTAAAGACAGTGTCATTCATTCCTAACATCGCTGATATATATTTTCTCTTTTTGATTTGTCAGAATTACTAGAGGTTTATACATTTTATTGATCTTTTAAAGAGCCAATGTTTTTTCTCTATTGTTTTTCTGTCTTAATTAAATTGATTTCTGCTTTTATATTTACTATTTCCTTCTGTTTGCTGTGAGTATATTCTGCTTTTTTTCTGGTTTCTCAAGGTGGAAGCTTAGATAGATTTGAGATTTTTTTTTCCGTCTAGTGAATGCATACAATACTTTAATAATATTCCTCTTTGCACTGGTTTAGCTTTGGCTCACAGCTTTCATTTGTTGTGTTTTCTTTTCATTCAGTTGAATATATTTTAAAAAAGTCCTTTGTGATAACTTCTTTGACACATAGATTATTTAGAAGTGTATTTAAATTCCAAGCATTGGGCCTCCCTGGTGGCGCAAAGGGTTAAGCACCACGCTATGAAGCAATCCACCTCTGCAGCATAAGTTCGATCCCCAGCTGGCCAGGGAGCAACCCACATGGCGCGGCAGACCGCTCCTGTCTGGCTCACTGCTCCCTCAGCAGCGTATTTCAGTCAGTCTGCCTGTTCTGTTCCCTGCTCTGTCTCTGGTGAATTCTCTCACCCCCCGCATCTCTGACCTGTATCCCAGCTCTTGTAGGCATAAATAAGTATTTAAAAAATAAATAAATAAATAAATTCCAAGTGTTGTGAAATTTTCATTATTGATTTCTAAATTCCTCTGTGACTGGAGAACATACTAAATGATTTCAATTCTTTCAAATGTGTTGAAGTTTGTCTTATAGCTCAGGGTACAGTTGGTCTTGGCATATGTCCTTTAGGCACTTACAAAGAATATACATTTGCCTCCTGTGGGTGCAATGTTCTATGACTGTTGCTTGGATCCTATTGAAGGATGGTGTTGCTCAATTCTTCTCCCTCCTTGGCTGATTTTCTGTCTAGAGTTCTATCACTTGTTAAGAGGGATATGACTTCTACAACTATAATTGTAGATTTGCTTATTTCTCTTTTCAGTTCTATCAGTTTTTGCTTCAAAAATTTTACAGCTCTATTGTGGTATCTTCTTGGTGGATTGATCCTTTTGTAATGTCACTCTCTGGCAATTTTTTTTATCTTAAGTCCAATTTATCCGATGTTAATACAGCCACTCCTCTTTTCTTTTAATTAATGATATATATATACATATATATATATACACAATATTTTTTTCAACTTTGTCTACATCATTATATTTTAAGTGAAATTTTTATAGAGATTTTGTAGATGGCCATGTTTTTTAATCTTCTATGTCAATCTCTATATTTTAATTGGTTTAGCCATTTATGTTAAATGTAATTATTTATATTTTATGACTTAAATCTGACATTTTTGTTTTTTTGTTTTCTGTATATTCTCTCTGCATTTCTCCCACACCCCCTTGATTTCCTATGGGTTCTTTGAACATTTTCTAAGAATCCTATAACTACAGGATTTTAATTATGGGGTTTTTGAGTGTATTTCTTTGTATGACATTTACTGGCTATGCGTAAAATATATAAAACTTTTTTTTTTGATGGTAAGTCTGGTGGCTATAAATTCCCTTAGTTTTCTTTCATTTGTGAATGTCTTTGTTTCCCTTTTATTCCTCATATTTTTGCTAAATATAGAATTCTAGGATGACATTTCTTATAGCACTTGAGAGAATTCTGCTGTCCTCTGAACTGGTTTTCACGTATAGAAAGGGGGTCATTTCTTCCTTACATCTTCAAGGTTTTTTTTTATTTTAATTTTCAGAAGTTGAGTAAGATTAATCATTGTATGGATTTCTTTGGTTCCATTCTGTTTTGGACTTACCCAGCAACCTGAATCTGTAGGTTTATGGTTTTTGTAAAATTTTGGGAGTTTTCAGTTATTTTCCTTTGATTAGTTTGTCACCCTTGTTTCTTTTCTCCTCTCCAGCCAGAACTCTCCATCCAAAAGAATGAAATTCATTCTTTTGCTACACTTTCACAGGTCCCTGTGACTGTCTACTTATGTTCAGCCTTTTTTTCCTCCATTAGTTAGATAATGCAATTTCTGTTGTTCTGCCTTGCAGCTGACTGATTCTTTCCTCTGTCGCCTCCATTCTTCTGTTGAGCTTTTACTTTCAGGTATTGCATTTTTCAGTTCTAAAATTTCTATTTAGTTCTTTTTTGTAAGGTGTAGTTTCTTCCTTTGCTGAGGTCTTCAATTTATTTGCTGAGAGTTTCTATGTTTTTATTGATTTCAAATGTGTTTGTAATTGCTTATTGAAGCATTTTTATGATGGCTGCTTTAGAACCTTTTTTCAGATAATTCCACCATTTGTCCCCTCACACTGGTATCTGCTGATGTCTCCTGGTTAGAGAGGGTTCGTCATGGCTCCTCACGACTCCTCATGTGGCCTCCGGGGACACCATTGCTATGGGAGGGGCTGCATTGGCCTCATTCCTATTGGGCTCTGATATAAACTCTAACCCCCCAATCTCCTTTGAAACTACCTTAGCAGGGGGATGAGACCTTTTAATGCACTATTGGAGTGGAGGTCAGGTGGTTTCCACTGGCATCATGTGGTAGCAGGGTGTGTGTGTGGGGGTCTTTTATTGTTTGGTATTCAGTCTTCAACACCACAGTACAGGGTGCTGGGGAACCTTCTTACAGACTGATGAAGATGGAAGTCCAGGCTCTTCATTTGGTCCTTGCTATGCTAGGGGTGAGGCTGTGACTTTTGCTGTGCTATTCAGTTGGTTGGTTTCGGTTTAAAAGTTTTCTGTCTTGCTAGATTGTCCTTTTTCTGGCCTCTTGAATAGAAAGAGCAGGCTTGTTGGGGCTATTTTTTTTTGTGTCCATAGCTCTTTCCAGTTTGCTGGTTTCTTTAGCTCTAAGTCTGGGATATAAAAGGCAAACTGTTAACTCAGAGAACTCAACATCATTTTCTTACTTGGGTTCTGAGTCCCCTAGTTTGCCTGCCTGCTTCTTTCTACCTTTCAGAGTGCATGTGTATAACACACACACACACACACACACACACACACACACACACACACACACACACGGTGTTTAGTTGGGCATAGCAAGAGGAACAGGGAAATGCACATGGGCTTCATTTTCTAATAAGCTGAAATTTTGGCATCATATTTTTAATTATAAGAAACACTCATTTTAATGAACTTGTGACAGGTTCCAGTCTGGTGAATTATTAATTTTGTAAGTGTGATCAAGATCCAAATATAATAAAAGTTTCACTGGAGGGACTGTGTTGTATATACCACATACCAATTATACTGATTTTTACAACTGTGACTAGCTTCTGTGAGCAAATCTTGTAATCTGAACCCTCACTGTAGCTTTCTTCTTAGAAATCCATGTTGAGAAATGCTCTGCTCTACTGGGCTTAAGTAAGATTAGCATCTGAACATGTTGCTTAACAGAGCTACTATTTCTACACAACTGTGATTTATATCAGGAAATCTACTCTTGACATTTCTTAAAGGAACACAACCAGCTAATTCATGGCAAACATTTACTTTTCAGGCTTGGATTGTCAAAGGGGAAAATCATTCAGTAAAGATGGTGTGTCAGGCATGTGTGAGAAAGATGGTAGGTGCTGGAGGATGGAAAAGAAGAAATAGTCTCTGTTTTGAGAATTCACTGTCTGTTGGGAGAGAAATATACTAAAAAGTGATTCTATAGCAGTGGGTGGGTGCTATAACAGAGAGAAGAAAATTTATGGAGGTACAGAAGGAGAAGCTAACTGGCTTGGGAGGATGACAGAGCCCAGATTTAGGGAAGGTATGATGCAGACTCGAGAAGCAACATCTGGACTGAGCTTCTGGAGCACTGATGGGGTGGAGGGGAGCAGCAGGTGCAGGAATCACAGAGGAGAACAGACATTGTCAAAGGAGAGTGTGGATGTGGAGCAACATGGGAAGACATGGCTAGAAATATAGTCAGGGACAGATCACAAAAGATCTAATATCCTGGATTGAGTAAAAATTCTTTAAGAGTTCTTTTAAAAGAAAAAAAAATGGTTTCCGGGAATTAATGGTCTGTAGGTTTTGACTTGTAGCTTTGTAATAGCTAAAAGTACGGAAGCAAGACTAGGAAGATATAAAAAAAAATGAGAATCCCTGTTATACATGGAAGGAACGGAAATGATATTCCTTAAAGACACTGCTGAGCCATGGAAGTAGGAGAGTGGGGCGGGGTGGAAGAAAGACCCAAGATGGGAACACTCTGTGATGGAGGCACTTCCTGATGTTGAGGGCCCTTAGGCAGAGAACTGGGCTCAGTGGGGGCCATAGTCAGACTGAGTTCTTTTCAGTACAATTATATTTTCACAGAACTGTGTTCAGTTGCTACCAGCTGCTTGGTGATTGCCTGTTGCTGGAAGTATGCAGATGTTGGAATCATTTGCCATTCACCCACAGGGCTGATGATGTCTGAACATATAGGCATCCAGAAGGTAATTGGATGAGATGATCTCCTGGCTCCCTTTTAGGCCAGAGAACCTAGGATTTTCTCAAATGCCAAGTAGGGTCTCATGGAAATATTGGTAAATATGTCCTGATAGACCAGGTGAAAATCATTGCTGAGATTGGGGTGTGAAGCCCTTCGTCTGCCACTATCCACACTGAAGGAAATGGAAAGTTTTCATTACTCCTATTTTCTCCTTTTAAAGGCCCTAGCAGCAGAATTTTCCTGCCCCCCACAGTTGGCATTGGGAAGCGTGCTGTGAGTTTAGGTGGGTGAATTTCTCCATGGGGCTCAAGATTGTACCATGTCCCCATACCTACCCCAGAATCAAACTGGTTCCAAGGTGGGCTTATTTTAACCCAGAAACATTCTTTTCTTTCTTTTTTTTAAGGCTTGATCTTTTTATTTTTCTTATTTAAAAAAAATTTTATATTAATTTTTTTACATCATTGTTCATTTTTCAACAATATTTGCTTCTCCCCACCCCTTCAGGTGTAGTCCCCATAGAATTTCCTTTCCCAATGCACCCGTGCACCATCACCTCAGTCCCCTGTGCTCCTCCCTCCCTCCCTCTGATCCCTCTCCCTCCTCCTTCCCTGCAGGATGTCTCTGATTTATAATTGTCTGTTTTTGTTTTGTTGTGTTTTGTACTGTTATTATTTTTTTTTCACTGGTGTCTTATTTGGTTCCCCTATATTCCTGCTGTAAGTGAAACCATCCAATATTTTTCTTTTTCCTTCTGGCTTATTTCACTGAGCATAATTCCTTCTAGTTCCATCTACGTTGCTGTGAATGGCATGGGTTTATCTTTTTTTGATTGCTGAATAATATTCCATTGTGTATATCTGCCACATCTTAATCCAGTCATCTATTTTTGGGCATTTGGGTTGTTTCCAGGTTTTACCTATTGTAAATAGTACTGCAATACACACAGGGCCACAGGTGTTCTTTTGAATCAATGTTTTTATGTCCTTCTTTGACCCAGAGACATTCTAACCTATTGCAAACTTACTATTTTCAAAGTTAGGAGGCAGCTTAGCCAGCCATGGGGGAAGACAGATGCAAAAACACACACTTTATAGGAAATGATATGCTTCCTTTCACTGACTATTTTCTTAAATATAAATTCTCCCCCTTTCCCTTATCTTTTATCCCTGCTGGGATTGATTAATAATGAAAACAAAACTTAAAAAATAGCCAATGTACTGGATATTTACAGGGTTTGAGGCAATGAACTGCATATTTAATCTCCACAATAATGTTAGAAGTAGGTTTTATTAGTACTTCCATTTAACAGATGGGGAAACCAAGACCTGGACTGAAAATATTGCCCGACCTTGCAGAGCAGAGCTGCTGAATCTTGAGCCCAAGTTTTAGGAGAGGCTGGAGAATCTCAGGAGTGACTTGAAGTCTTGCCTATGAAGCTTCATTTGAGTGCTTTTAAAGGTACAATCTGCAATCTCCTTGCTTTCAAAAAATGTAAGTGGAGAGTCACCCTTACCCTCTCCCCGCATCAGGATGTATGGGAATGTTATGAGGCCCTGTCTGTTAAAAATGCCCCATCAGTGAGAGGCTCACTGAACTTTCATATACGGGTCACACCCATGTAACCACCACCAAGACTAGCCTTCCTGTTCTTGAACTCCTTATATATGGGTCTAGTTTGTCCTATTTTTCTTCTTTTCATCTTACAGATGCTGATCTGTAAGATCAAACCAGTGGTGTGATGCTAATTGCCTCCTCTCCATCCCCCACCAAAAAGAAAAAGAAGGAGGAGAGAAGAGGAAGGCCTTGTTTGTAGTGTTTGCCAATTTCAGTGGTGTAAATATTCCCATCATGGCTAATTACAAGTCACCAATGATTTAACATCTGGCTTGAAAATTCCAGACTACACAAGCAACTCTTAGGAACCAGCCAGTCCCACAATATCACCTGATTCATGCATAATGTGGTGTAGCTGTATATCTTTCATTTTCATTGTTGTCTAATGTTCCCTGTTTTGAACACACGTGGGTTCTTTTTAGTGTGGACTTTTGGCAAAAGTCACTGGTTTTCAGATAGAACCTCTTTGGGGAGATCCATATGGAGCCCATTGATGCCAGTGGCAGAAAGCCTGAAGTCAGCAACCCTGCTTCTTGCTGTCTCTCCCACCTCTCCTGACTCCCAGACCAGCCTCAGTCACACAGCCAAAGGTTCCAGGCTTGCGCTTGGGAGCACACTGGCACTCAGTGGGTATTCCGTAAGTGCTTCTTTGCTCCCTTTCTCTTGTTCATAGCAGGGAGGCTGGCTGTGCTGTGGGTGATAGGTGCAGTGATCTCTTTGCCTTTATGTCTCCCACCCACACTGGGGTTGATTAATCACTGATTCACAATGACAACATCCCCCCACAAGTTCAGGATAGGGCTCTGTCCTGGCCTGGGTCTCTGGGTCTCTGGGAGTCGGCTCTGATGCCAGACACCCGTAGGGCTCCTCAGTTGTATTTCCATTTGGTCTCTTTGAATAAGAAGAGGAGGAGGAAGAGAAAGAAAAGAGGGCAGAAGGGAAAGTGAGAGTGTGTAGGGGGAGGCTGGCAGGGAAGCAGGCCTGTCGGTTCCAGCACTGTGGACTTGACCTGGAGGAAGGGTTCTCTGTTAACAAATGGTCTGTTTGATCTGGTTGACTGTGATGGGCCCAGGAAATCTGTTCACACATGAAATGACATTTGTTCCAGAACCACCTTCCTGCTTCTAAACAAATCATCACAGCCCAAGTGCCCTGTGAGAGATACCCCATCTCCAGTGGAATGTGAAAAAAAAACCTAGGAAAGGCTGTCAAGAGGATGACAAGAAAGTGACAAAAGACAGCCACAGAATGGCAGTCTGTGAATATATATTAGTTTCAGGGTGAAGGGGGAATGAATAATTGACTGTCAAGGGGACCTAAGGGGCCTTTTCTGTGCCTCAGTTCCCCAGGGACTCAGCAAGCACAGAGCCCACTGACACCGAGCTCACCTCCACCAGGGCTTGTGTGCCTTGAGGCCTTCTCCTGGAGGGAGGGCAAGAAGCCTCTTCCATTAGTTGGCACCAGCATGCTTTCTGTTCACTACAGCAGGAAAGTTATCTCCTGTGTCCCTCGTCAATTGTAAAAACACACTGATTGTGGCCAAGTGAAACAAAATGTCCCTCCCTGCCTGCAAGTTCAATCTGCATCCCTTTGACAGCTGGCCATGATGGAGTACAGCATCTCTTTCCAAACCCATAACTGTTTTCTTTGGATCTACCTCCAGCACCCCAATTCCAGGACTTGGGGCCTCCCTGTAAAAGCTGCTGGTTTCCATGACCTCTTGAAGCAACTTCTTGAGTCCCAAGGGCAAAGACTAAGTTCAGCTCCCTCTCTGAACCCCGCTTCTTGGCTGGCTGGCTGTGGTTCATTTTGCTGTTGCTTCCCCAGGGCATTTGGGAGGCTGATCTAGAAGAGGCAGCATGGTATAATGGACAGAAAAAATAATCTGGGATGGCCTGGAACTAATTTAAAATACTGGTTCTGCAACTTGGGTGACCCTGGGTGATGCTAGCTCCCAGTTGTCAGGCCCAATGTGATTGTCTTGAGAGCTCTGCAGGCTCAGGATTCTAACCTGCTTTCTAGGAGTAGAGAAGGAAGAGCTGCGAAGGTCTCTTGGACAAAGCAGACTGAGCCAGGATTTGTGCTTGTGCTGGTGTGCCCACAAAGTAGGCCTCTGTCCCCTACTCCATATTTTGATGCCACAGGCTGGGAATGCACTCAGACACTGGTGTTCCCATGGGTCCCCTAACTCTTCTTGTGGGTGAGGGAGACAGTGCCGAGGAAACCCCCGGTCCAGAGGAGCATGCACATGTGGGTGTACTATGTGGCATGTTTATTTGATCAGTTTTAATTTATGGTTAGAAATTGAGATGGCTCCCAATTTTTTTACTGTCATAAACAAGGCTGTGTAAAACATTTGGGACCATAAGTCTTTTTTACATCCCTATTTCCTTATGACACATATCTAAAAGCTGAATTACTAAGTTGCAGAGTACAAAATGTTTCAAGCTTTAAGTATAACACTGACTTCCAAATTGCTCTTACTACGAGTTGTTTTGTTTTTGTTTTTCCGATGAGTTTTGGTGGCTTATCTGTCCCCCACTCAGAGCCTTTTTCCTTATAACTGGAGGCCGTTTCTGAGTTAAGGCTGGTTTTGTTTTGATCTTTGGTAAACCCAATACAATACTTTATGTGTGTATGTATGTGTTGGGGGGAGACAGGGCTGCAAGACCATTTTAATTAGAGAAAAAGTCTTCAAAGTGCTCCCTTCTGTCTTCCTGATCTGTAATTTAAATCTCTTAGTACCTAGGCAATGAAGAGAGACTACACAGGAATTTGGGAAAAATAAAAACCAGAAAGACAAAAATTAAAAAAAAAATTGCCTGGATGATGAGTTATGGAAGGTTTTGTTTTTCTAGACAAAATGTTTTTGCAATAAAAGTGGAAGGGATAGTCATTATAGCCTTATTCACAATAATCCAAGAGTTGGAAACAAACTTAAGTGATTAGTTGATGAGTGATCAAAATGTGAGATATAACATATATATATATAATATATAAGGTGTGTGTGTATATGTGTGTGTGTGTGTGTATAATACACACACAATGGACTCTACTCAACTATAAACAAGATGAAATCCTGCCCTTTGCAACAATGTGGATAGAACTACAGGGTGTTATGCTAAGTGGAATAAATCAGAGGGAGAAAGAAAAATACCATAGGATTTCATTTATATGTGGGAAATAAAGAAACAAATGAGACAAATAAACTGTATAAAACAAAACCAATCTTTTAGGCTGCAAGAACAAAACAGTGGTTAGCAGAAGGGAAGGGGAGAGAGAAGTTCAGATAAAAGGGCTTAATTGCATGTTGATGAATGGAAACCAGAATTTTAGTGGTGAATATGTCTTTCTAGGTGTTGATTTAAACTATTGAATGCCTGAAACCTAAATTATAAGTCAATCTTACTTCAGTTAAAAAGGTATGAGGGGAAGGGGTTTCTCATCCTAAACTGGAATATGGACCCAACTCCCTTAGATGTGAGACACATCAGTAGAGACAATGTCTGGTGATGGACTTTCAAGGTGGAAACCAAAGTCCGAGCCTGGCCTGCCTGGCCTTTGGCAGGTTGGTGACTTCTTGCCTTGGCCCTGTGTCTTGGGGCACGAGCCTCTCAGTTGTCACTCAGCACCCATCAGCCCTGGATTCTCTAGAGGAAGCAGAGGACGTGTGTTTGCCAAACAGTTGCTTCTCTCCTAAGATCCGTAATAGGATTATTTAAAAAATAAAATAAAAATCACAAATCTTTTACAAGTGTAAAATGAACCTACATGGAAGATTTTATTTAATTCATTAATTAGTGGGAGAACTAGTCAGAGGTTGGTTACAACCAGTTCCAGTGAGAATAAAAAATACTACACGTAGGTCCTCCCTGGTGGTGTAGGGGTTAAGGTTGCATGGCTATCAAGCTATAGCCAACAATTGCAGCATGAGTTCAATCCCCAACCAGGGAGCTAACCCGCAGGGCGCAGCAGACCTCTCCTGTCTCAACCGCTGCTCCCCTCAGCAGTGTATTTCAGCAGATCTGCCTGTTCTGCTCCCCACTCTGTCTCTGTTGAATCCTCTCACCTCCTGCACTTCTGACCTAGACCCCAGTTCTTGTATGCATAAATAAATAAAATAAATAAAAAAAATACTACACATAGATAGGCAAGAAAACATGCTGAAAGGAACTTGCAGATGCAAAATAGACAATAGCTACGGAGTGGTGCTCATTTGCATGTCTGTGGACTAGAACGGTGTGCATTCCCATGGGAATTCTACAATGCAGAGTTGTAAAGTGACTCCTAAATTAGGAAGGGCAGAGCGAGCCAGGAGGGGTAGTCTACATGGAACTGGCAGCAATCTTTCTTGCCCATTTTAAAGTCTTTTATAGATTTGGGGAGGGGAGGGAGCAGAAGAAAACTTGAACTGTTACTTCATCAAAACAAAGGAAACAGGGGACAGGCTTAAAACAAGTGATGACAAATGAGTCAAATGAGTGCACTGGACGCTCTGGTGTAGCTGTGAAGAAGCAGGAGCTGGGGAGAGGAAGGGAAGGGAATAAATAAATAAGTTACGATGCAAAAGAAAATTAAAAAGTAAGAGAGAGAGAGGAGGAAAGGGGAAAAAGCAATTTAACAAACCAAAAATAAGAGTTAAAAGGAAGTCTAAAAGAGGTGAGAGAAGAGTTCTGCTTTGCTCAACCCTTCATTTCTTTCCTCACTCATTCACTGAGCAGCACATCTGGTCCTATGCTGGACCCTGGAGTACAAGAGTACAAGTTCAACCAGCTGCACAGAAACTTTGTCACTCACAACTTGGGGGAAAGACATGCTCTATGATAGGTGGAGCAACATCCTAA